TGTTATTTAGTTCTTTTTCTTTCTTTCAAAAATTTTGTAGTTGCTGAGGAAGTCCCCAGTAAGGGACGAAACGTTCAACAAGATCAAATAAATTTGTTCATCAAAATTTATTAACTGTCTTCAGTTTTCCCTTTGAAACTCATATATATTAATATACTGTTGGGACAAGAATATTGATTATTAATTTCATTTATATTTGTTCTTTCATTGTTTCTCTTATTTCGATTTTTATAACTAATGTGATTATTACGTTGAAATAATAATAACAAAATTAAAAAAGGAAATATTTTTCTTTCTTTCGTTTGTTTGTGAAAAATATTTTAGTGGATATTCTTAAAGAAAATGAGACAGAGAGAGAGAGAGAGAGAGTGAGTGAGAGAGAGTATGAGAGAAAAAGAGATAATGCTCGTGGAAAGGAAAGGTTACGATGAAGATAATGTTATTCATAGGACGAGCAAACTCCTGGCCTTAATGGTGAAGAAGAGATGAATAACTCTCCCGGGGAATTAATGAGAAATTATCGGAGAAATAATGAGAGACGAGGGTTACTACCAGCCATGGAATACTTTAAATAAGAGAGAAAGAGAAAAAGAGAAAGAAATAAAGGTATAGACTATATACTAGTAGAAAACGATCAAAAGGTGTTAAATTAATAAAAAGATACTATCTACTATCTTACGAAAGAAACTTCAAAATTAATCGTCCCATTAAATTTCAAATAATTCATCAAACTTACTTATCCCTTAGGATGATAGATCCAAGATTGTATCAATCCACTCACCTGTAACTAAAAGACAAAAAAAAAATGAATTATTCATTAGTAAATAATTTATTTTATCATATATTAAATATTATATTCTAAGTATTCTTAAATTAATTTATTATTATTCTAATTAAAATATTATACATTTTTTTTATTTTTAATCGAATTAACGAATCTTATTTATTAAAAAATCAGTAAGTAAATAAAATGATATAATATATAAATAAATTTAGAAAATATTTTATCAAATAATTCGTTTATCATATTATAAATCATATTTCTTACGAAATTATTACTTCCATATTTTTTTATGTGTGTTTTTTCTCGTTCTTTTATTTTTTCTTTTTGTTTTTTATAGAAAACATTCGTTCGAAATAATTTAATTAGAATAATTTAATTAGAAAATATTTTATCAAATAATTTGTTATATAATATATCGCGTATATATTCTACGAACTAATGAATCATATTAATTCGAAAATATTTACAGAATATATATTTTCTATATATAAAAATGAGATTTTTCTTAGAAAATGATTAAGGTGAATTGATAAACGGAAGGACGCATCAAGGTTTGTCCTAAGTAAGTGGCAGGCCGTTTTAATATCGTCCTTTAATCAACGTTCGAACTATTAATTACACGAAGGATTAACGAAGCGGGAGAGAATCGTTCAAGGACGAAAGAGAAAGAGAAAGAAAGAGAGAGAAAGAGAGTAGGATATAAGGGGTGAAGGGTAAAATTCCAAGAGGTAACAACCCCTCGGATCAAAACCTAACTCCCTTTCTCAAATCTCTCAACCTTTCTCTCGAGTATTCCTCTCTCTTTCTCTTTCTCTTTCTCTCTTGGTTGCTTTGGTTCGTAGGAAGAAGGAGGAGAGGAGGAAGAGGAAGAAGAAGAAGAAGAAGAAGCGAATAAGCGAGGTAGCGCATAGCATATTGAAATATAATTAGGGGTGGTTTAATAACCGACGGTCTGTGGCTTTTGCCTTAGTCTCGACACAACATAAGCAACGACCTGTTAACTGATGCGAGGCCCAACCCTCTTACTCCTCCAACCCCTATTTTAACTCCCCTCCATACCTCTACGATGCTCTTGTCTCACGAGCTATGAGCAACGGCTTTGCTGTGGTTGTACTACGCTTGCAACGCATCAGAACCATGAAAGAGGAGAAATTTGAACCGAGAGATGCACCCAGTTAGAAACATGTTTCAGATAGAATAGAAGAGAAAATGAAGAAGAGGAAGAGGGAAAAGCTAGTACTACTATTACTACTACTACTACTATTATTACTATTATTATCTTTATTCTTGGTACAATCGAAAATGGTTCGTTAAAAATTTCTGACTATGTTTATGATCGTTAAATATACTGAAATATTTATATATTTGAAATTACGATTAATTTTTCTACGTGTGCATTTTATTTTGTTTATAATAGAAATAAATAATGAAAAGAAATATAACATTTTATTTGGTCTCAGGGGTGTAATGTAATTAAGGGATAAATATATTGTATAATATTTTATAAGTATGTTTATAATATATAATATATGTGCATCTATCATTATACAGGGAATTGATTAAAATGGAGGGGTAAGATTTGATTTTTGTTTCGACAAAGTTGGGAGACACGTAAAAAATATAACATTATATTTGATCATTTAAAATAATTAAATAATTATTATAATAATTATTATATTTTGTATAGTGTATTATATTAGTATATTCAACCTATTTGTTATTAAATTTTCATATATAATAATAACAATTAGCAATCGTAACCATCATACATCAGGAATTAATTAAAATGGAGTATTAAGATATGGTTTTTTATTTCTAAAAATTTAAACATTTGTAAATTTAACTTTAATTCGTCAAAGTTGCGAGTATAATAATCACAATTATCAACCATAACTATCATACCCCGGTAATTAATTAAAACAATAAGATAAGATTTGATTGTTGTTTCTAAAAATTTTAACACTCGTAAATTTAACTTATATTCGTCAAATTTGCAAGTACAATAATCACAATTAGCAATCATAACCATCATAATACTAAGAATTGATTAAAACGGAGAATTAAGATTTGGTTTTTTTGTTTCTAAAAATATAAGCACTCATAAATTAAATTTTTATTCGTCAAATTTGCGAGTACAATAATCACAATTAGCAATTATAATCATCATAATACTAA